AAAATACCAATTGCTGTCTAGGATGCAGATCAACAGGAACTCCAATCATTGCTGATGGGAATGCAAGATGGTATAGCCACTCTGAATGACAGTTTGGCAGTTTCTTACAAGGTGAAACAGAGCCATACCATATGATGTAGCAATCACACTGGTAGGTATTTATCCAACTCATTTAAAAATTTATGTTCACACAAGAATCAGCACACAAATGTTTACTGCAGCTTTATTGATAATCCCCCAAAACTGGAAGCAACCAAGAAATCTTTCAAAGGGTGAATGGATAAACAAACTGTGGCACATCCATACAACAGACTATTACTCAGCAACTAAAAAAAAAAAAAGTCTATCAAGCTTTGGGGAAAAAAAAAACGAAGAATCTTAAATGCATGTTGCTAAGTGTAAGAAAACGGATGCAGCGCTGGAAGTGCTTGCTAGTTTATGCCAGAAAATTTGGAAGACAGCTACCTGGCCAACTGACTGGAAGAGATTCATATTTATAACTAATCCCAAAAAAGGTGATCCAACAGAATGCAGAAATTATCAAACAATATCATTAATATCAAACACAAGTCAAATTTTGCTGAAGATCATTCAAAAGCCGCTGCAGCAGCGTATCGACAGGGAACTGCCAGAAATTCAGGCCGGATTCACAAGAGGACGTGGAACTAGGGATATCACTGCTGATGTCAGACGGATCATGGCTGAGAACAGAGAATACCAGAAAGATGTTTACCTGTGTTTTATTGACTATGCAAAGGCATTCGACTGTGTGGATCGTACCAAATTACGGATAACATTGTGAAGAATGGGAATTCCAAAACATTTAATCGTGCTGAGGAGAAACTTGTACATAGATCAAGAGGCAGTTGTTCAAACAGAACAAGGGGATACCGTGTGGTTTAAAGCCAGGAAAAATGTGTGTCCGGGTTGTATCCTTTCACCATGCCTATTCAATCTGCATGCTGAGCAAATAATTCAAGAAGCTGGACTATATGAAAAAGAACAGGGCATCAGGATTGGAGGAAGACTCATTAACAACCTGCGTTATGCAGATGACACATTCTTGCTTGCTGAAAGTGAAGACGACTTGAAGCACTTACCGATGAAGATCAAAGACTACAGCCTTCAGTATGGATTCTACCTCAACATAAAACAAAAATCCTCACAACTGGACCAATAAGCAGCATCATGATAAATGGAGAAAAGACTGAAGTTGTCAAGGATTTCATTTTACTTGGATCCACAATCAACACCCATGGAAGCAGCAATCAAGAAATGAAACGATGTATTGCATTAAGCAAATCTGCTGCAAAAGACTTTTAAAGTGTTGAAACGCAAAGATGTCACCCTAAAGACTAAGGTGCGCCTGACCCAAGCCATGGTATTTTCAATCACATCATATGAATGTGAAAGCTGGACAATGAATAAGGAAGACCAAAAAAGAACTGACGTCTTTGAATTGTGGTGCTGGCGAAGAATACTGAATATACCATGGACTACCAAAAGAATGAACAAGTCTGTCTTGGAAGAGGTACAACCAGAATGCTCCTTAGAAGCAAGGACGGCGAGACTACATTTTACACACTTTGGACATGTTGTCAGGAGGGATCAGTCCCTGGAGAAGGACGTCATGCTTGGTAAAGCACAGGGTCAGCGAAAAAGAGGAAGACCCTCAACGAGACAGACTGACACAGTAGCTGCAACAATGGGCTCAAGCATAACAATTGTGAGGATGGCGCAGGACTGGGTAGTGTTTTGTTCTATGGTACATAGAGTCGCTATAAGTCTGAAAAGGCTACATACTATATGATTCCAATTATATGACATTCTGGATAAGATAAAACTATAGAGATGATAAACAAATCAGTTGTTGCCGGGGTTCAGGGAGTGAGGGGAGGGAGAGGGTCGAGTAGGTAAAGCACAGGGGATTTTTAGGGCAGTGAAACTAGTATGACACTGGAATGGTAGATACATGACACTATCCAGCTGTAAAAACCCCATAGAACTTTACAGAAAAAAAGAGTGAACCTTAATGCATGCAAATTAAAAAAAAAAAAACAATCATTTCGGAACTTGCAGATATCCCAGAAAGAAACGTAGAATGTGACCAAAAAAAAAAAAACCACAACAAAAAACCAAAACTAAGTGTATTACAAATGTATGAAACAACCTCACCCAAAGGACTGGGGATAAAAGTGTTGACCTAACTAACCTTGGTAATGAGTGGAGCCTAAAAAACTAAAGGCAAACAGAAATGCAGTGGCTCTCAACCAGGGGCTGGGACATTTGGCAACGTCTGGGAAAATAAGGCAACTCCTCAGGGGCATTTGGCAATGTCTGCAGAAATTTTGTGGAGGGGGATGCTACTGGTATGAAATGGGTAGAGGCTAGGGATGCTGCTAAACATTCTACAATGCACAGGACAGTCCCAATAACAAAGAATTATCCAGTCCCAAAATGTCAACAGTGCCAAGACTGAAAAATCCTGTTCTACTCTGTGACACTGGAGCTGGGACTCTGCAAACAGCATTTAGTTGGAACTATTGATAAATGAGGTTTGAACTGTTTTTTCAGTTCTTTCAGCTTGAGAAATAGTAAGCATGTTCTTCCCTTTTGATTTTCTAACTCCAGGTCAAGCCTCAAGTTGCAGTACTGAAGGATTCTAAGGGCAAAATATTGAACCATGCAGGAAGCATCAAAAGAAGATGGAAGGAATACACAGAGTCACTGTACCAAAAAGAACTGGTCGGCGTTCAACAATTTCAGGAGGTAGTATATGATCAAGAACCGACGATACTGGAGGAACAAGACCAATCTGCACTAAAGGCATTGGTGAAAAACAAGGCTTCAGGAACTGACAGAATAGCAATTGAGATGTTTAAACAAACGGATGCAAGGCTGGAAGTGGTCACTCATCTATGCCAAGAAATTTGGAAGACAGCTACCGGCCAAACGACTGGAAGAGATCCATATCTGTGCCCATTTCCAAGAAAGGTGATCCAACAGAATGCCGAAATTATTGAACAATATCATTAATACCACATGCAAGTATAATTTTGCTGAAGATAATTCAAAAACAGTTGCAAGAGTATGTTGACAGGAAACTGCCATAAATTCAACCTGGATTCAGAAGAGGACGTGGAACCAGGCATATCATTGTTGATGTCAGATGGATCTTAGTTAAAAGCAGAGAATACCAGAAAGATGTTTACCTGTGTTTTATTGACTATGCAAAGGCATTCAACTGTATGGAACATAACAAATTATGGATAACACTGGGAAGAATGGGAACTCCAAACACTTAATTGTGCTCATGAGGAACTAGTACTTAGACCAAGAGGTAGTTGTTTGAACAGAATAAGGGGATACTGCGTGGTTTAAAATCAGGAGAGGTGTGTGTCAGGGTTGTATCCTTTCACCATACTTCTTTAATCTGTACGCTGAGCAAATAATCCGAGAAGGTGGACTATGTGAAGAACGTGGCATCAGGATTGGAGGAAGACTCATTAACAACCTGTGATATGCAGATGACACAACCTTGCTTGCGGAAAGCAAAGAGGATTTGAAGAACTTACTGATGAAGCTCAAAGACTACAGCCTTCAGTATAGATTACACCTCAATATAAAGAGGATAAAAATCCTCACAACTGGACCAATAAGCAACATCATGACTGTCTTAGTCATCTAGTGCTGCTACAACAGAAATACCACAAGTGGATCGCTTTAACAAAGAGAAATTTATTTCTTCACAGTAAAGTAGGCTAAAAGTCCAAATTCAGGGCATCAGCTCCAGGGGGAAGGCTTTCTCTGTCAGCCTTCTTCTCATCAGTGTTCCCCAGACCAGGAGCTTCTCTGCACAGGGACCCGGGTCCAAAGAACACGCTCTGCTCCCGGCACTGCTTTCTTGATGGTATGAGGTCCCCAATTCTCTGCTTGCTTCCCTTTCCTTTTATATCTTACAAGAGACAAAAGGCGGTGCAGGCCACACCCTAGGGAAATTCCTTTACATTGGATCAGGGATGTGGCCTGAGTAAGGGTGGTGTTACAATTCCACTCTAATCCTCTTTAACGTAAAATTACAATCACAAAATGGAGGCCAACCACACAATTCTGGGAATCATGGCCCAGCAAAATTGATACATACATTTTTGGGGGGACATAATTCAAACCATGACAATGATAAACAGAGAAAATATTGATGTTGTAAAGGATACTTGGATCCACCATCAACACCCATAGAAGCAGCAATCAAGAAATCAAACGATGTACTGTACTGGCAAATCTGCTGCAAAAGACTTCTTTAAAGTGTTGAAAAGCAAAGATGTCACTTTGAGGACTAAGGTGCGCCTGACCCAAGTCATGGTATTTTCAATTGCCTCTACGCATGTAAAAGCTGGACAACAAATAAGGAAGACTGAAGAAGAATTGATGCCTTTGTTAATTATGGTGTTGGAAAAGAATACTGAATAGACCACAGACTGTCAAAAGAATGAACAAGTCTGTCTTGGAAAAGTACAGCCAGAGTGCTCCTTGGAAGCAAAGATTGCGAGACTTCGTCTCGTGTACTTTGGATATGTTATCAGGAGGGATCAGTCCATGGAGACGGACATCATGCTTGGTAAGGTAGAAGGTCAGCAAAAAAGAGGAAGACCCTGGACGAGATGGACTGACACAGTGGCTGCAACAATGGGCTCAAACATAACAATGACCGTGAGGATGGCACCAGACCGGGCACTGTTTCATTCTGTTATATACAGGATTGCTATGAGTCGGAGTCAACTGATGGAACCTAACTACAACAACAGGATATAAAGGTCTTTAAGAAAACAGTTTTAAAAATGTATAAGAAGATAGAACGCACAGCTCAAGAAACAGCAAAGCAATTGTCAAGAGAGGAAGTGAAAAGCGTGGACTACTGTTTCATGAAGTTGAGCTTGAAAAGCTCAACTGAGACATATTGAGGGTTGTTATTAGGTGCCGTCAAGTCGATTTCAACTCACAGCAACCCCGTATGATACAGCAGAACTGAGCACAGGGTTTTTTTGGCTGTAATTTTTACGGAAGCAGGTCGCCATGTTTTCTCCTGGCCAGTCTTTCTCCCACGGAGCAGCCGAGCACTTGACTGTTTGCACCACCAGGGCTCCTAATTGAGGGTAGAGAGAGGTTGTTTATTTTCCTTAAGGCAGAGTAGATTTCAATATATCTACAGGTAAAAGGGAAAAAAAAGAATCTGAAGAGTCTGGCCTAAACCTGTGATTTGGGAGAGGAGAATATGACCAGAATATTCTGGTAGGTGCATAGTAGGTCTAAGAGCATATTCCAAGTCATACTATCATTTTGTATTTGGAAAAACAAACAAACACACAAAAAATTACTATTTTCACAACACAAAGTAAAATGGAATGTTGGACCAAATCTGCCTTGATGGTGAAAATAAACAAAGATATGAGCATGTTAATATTCCTCAAAGCATAAGGGTGGGAAATATCAGAACTGGAGGGTGGGTAACTTGAAGTTTTTATATTTATCAAAAACAGCATGGATTTTAAAAATATGGGAAATTCTACAAGACAAATGACCCAATTTTTTTCAACAAGTATACTGCCAAGAAAAGAAAAAAAGAACTTAAGAGGCATATCAATCAAATGCCAAATGTAGGCCTTGTCTATATCCTGATTGGCTCAAACCACCCATAAAAAGGAAAATAAAATTTTGAGACATCCAGGGAAACGTGAACACTGAATATTGTGGAAACTCAGTGTTGGGTACACAGGAGTTCATTATACTATTACGTCTAGTTTGTATAAACCTCTAGTTTTGAAATTTTCCACAATCATTTCGGGGGCACAGTGGTTAAGAGCTACGGTGAGGTACGGCTGCTAACCAAAAGATCGGCAGTTCGAATCCACCAGCCGCTCTTTGGAAACCCTATGGTGCAGTTCTACTCTATCTTACAAGGTCACTATGAGCGGGAATGGACTCGACGGCAACAGGTATTTTGACTCGATAGGAGCCCTGTTGGTGCAATGGTTAAGCACTGGGCTGCTAACCAAAAGGTCAGCAGTTCAATCCACCATCAACTCTGCTGGTGAAAGACAGCCTAGGAAACCCTATGGGGCAGTTCTACTCTGTCACACGGGGTGGCTAAGAGTAGGAATTGACTTCACCGCACACAACATTTTGACTAGACAGCAACTAACAACAACAACGAATTGTCTCCTTCTAAAGGCTGAGGAACACTGCTCTGGACTTCATTTTAGAGAATACTGGATGACCGTGGTATTAAATCTTTTTCAGTTGTAAAATGCTCTAAAATGAGGAACAAGTAGCCACTGCACTACATTTTCTATACTCCCGTGTTTTCTGCATTCTCACAAGCCTATCGCAAATTACTGAAAATGAGATCTGCCGGGGGGAAAAAAAGCCTGCTCGGTGACAGGCATCCGGGTCTGCGGCATTTTCTCTGTAAACATCTCTACCCTAGGGAAACGTGTTTAGATTTTTAACGCCGGTCACATGCGGAGATGCTTGACCTTCTGGTCAAGGAAACTGCAAAGGGTCAGCATTCCACCGCGGGCTGCCCCTGGCCCTCTCTGCTGACCCAGCCCGCAAGGACCACGTAGGAGGCCCTTGGGGCCAGGCCTCCGTTTCGTACTTTCGGAATGAGCCCGGAAAAGCCAGCCTCTGCCCCTCGTCCGAACAAGGAAGGAGGCTGCAGAAGTCGGCCGGCTGGAAAACGGCTCAGGGAGCGGCGGACAGGGGCGCCACCCGGAGCGTTACTCACCCTGACACCGGCAGCCCAGGACCGCGGTCTTCCGAGACGCGGATTGTGGCATCTTCTCCCCCGCCACAGCTCCGGCCCCAGCCGCATTCACCGCGGCGGGCGGAGCGGCCCGGGAGCACCCAGGCTTACCGCAGGTTTAGGGATGCGCTCGCGGCCGCAGGTTCGAACGACCCCGGGGGCGCTGGCGCACACTCAGCCCGCCGCACCCTCTCCCGGTGCTAGGCGCGACCGCGGGGCCACGTGACGCCGGTCCCACGTGACGGCGGGCCCGTCCCATCACCGCGCATCACAACTTACGTCATCGTCCACTGCTGTGGCGCGCTACCCCAACCTGGTCCTCAGTCCAAGTCCTCCCGGACTTTAGCAGGGACCCTGGCCCCGTTTGTCTGTTGTCACGGGGTGCTGGCCTTCGAGTTTCTTTCTCATAAGAAAGGACATCATCGCTTTACAATGAAAGTCTGGTAGGGATAAGTATTTATGTGTAGAAAGGGAAGACATTCTTCATTCCTTTTAAATTAAAAATCAGAAAGAGAGAAGAGCAACGGATGAACCAAAGCAATGAACTTATTGAGCTGAATGGAGCTAACCACGTTGTCTAGCCTATCTCTTCCGGGATGGACACTGTTAAAAATAATCAACCGAAATTGAAACGTAAGGTTTATTCCGAGTAGTTATTCCACATGCATATAGGGAGACCATATTGAGTCCAGAAAAAGCAAATGGCTCTAAGTAAGCTAGGTACAATGAGCAGGGACGAATTACCCAATAAGCAAGGTAAGCAGGTGCTTAGGGCATCAACAAAACAGGGGCACCAGTTGTCCGAAGCAAAGACTCGTAGCTGCCAAGCAGACAGAACACATTAAATTTTCTATTATGACATCTTTTCATTTATAATTATAGCATTTATTATGAAACAAGCATCAAAATTGAAGTATAAGCCATTTAAAGCAAGGTGGTGAAAGTCAATTTTTTGTGGTGGGAGATGAACAGAATTTGATATTGATGCTGTAACTTAGTAGTCGAGTACTCAACGTTTGCACCACCCAGGGACTCTGGAATGGACACCAGACCGTGCCAAACACCTTAACAGGGTTGTCAGGGTATGAGAGATGCCTTGTTGTGCCACTCAGATTTCCCCTCAGGACCAAGGAATCATTACCGCAATTGTTGGGTATGTGGGCAACCAGCGGCCCTTGGAGTCACTGTCTGGAAATTTCCCTGAGTGAGAGAGAACTTCCACCCTGGTCAGCAACTTAATTCATCTTGACTGGAGTTGACAGGTATTTCAGATATGGGTTTCTCTTCCCTGCCTGCAGAGTCTCAGCCTAAGTGCCTACAGAGTGTCTGATCCACCTACACAAGATGCTGCATAACATCACGTTGGTTCAAAGGATCTCATTTACAGCAAAGGAGATATGGCAGAGGGAATATTGCCATAGGATCCATTGGGCCTGTCACATGCCATACTACCCAGAAGCTGCTGGTCTGATGGAGCAGGGAACAGCCTTTTGAAGGTAAAGCTGAGGTGCTAGCTTGGAGATGATATTCTGTGAGGATATGGTACTCTGCCCTCCAGTAGGAAATATACAGGGTCTGGGTGCCGAGGCAGGTAAATAAGATTTGCTCCTGCTTACCAGTGTAAGAGGCTGCATAGGCCCGGCTGACTATTCTTTACTCCCCATTGCTGACCGCCACTTTGTCTCATGATTTTGTTTTTCCCTCTGGTTCCAGTCTCTACAAAAGGTTTAAGATTAACGGATGTTCCTCCCTGGAGGGTGGAAAACAAGTGATAATGATCTAAGAATGAAAAACCAAACAAAGCACCCATCTTGTGACAAGAAAAAGCAGGATGTTGCCAGATAATCCCCAAGGATGTCACCAGATAACCTCTAAGAATATCATTAGAAGGTTAACTCATCTAAGACATCACCACCTCAAGGGGAAACTAACACAAACTTCTAAGATCCATAATCCTGTCTCTATAAAAGCCTTCAGCTGATCTCCAGTGGGGGAGGTGGGTTTTTTGGAGGAATCTATTCCCCTCTGTCTCCTATATATCGATATATAATAAACATCTTGCTGCTCGCCTTACCAGTCTCAGAATTGGCTATTGCGGCAGGCGGCTCCAGTCCACGTTATTGTGGTAACACCAGCACTCCCAGCGGTCTACCTGGGAATCTTGGGGTTCGTGTCCCTACAGCTCTGGGTCCAGCTTCCCATCGGGTCACTGTTATGGACTGAATTGTGTCCCCAAAATTCTGTGTCTACTTGGCTAGGCCATGATTCCTCTTATTGTGTGATTGTCCACCATTTTGTCTTCTGATGTGATTTTCCTGTGTTGTAAATCCCACCTCTATGATGTTAATGAGGCAGGATTAGAAGCAGTTATGTTAATGAGGCAGGACTCAATCTACAAGATTAGGTTGTATCTTGAGTCACTCTCTTTTGAGATATGAAAGAGAGAAGCAAGAAGAGAGACAGAGGACCTCCTTACCACCAAGCAAGAAGAGCCATTAGCACGTATCCTTTGGTCCTGGGGTCCCTGAGCTGCAAAGCTCCTAGACCGGGGGAAGATTGATGACAAGGACCTTCCCCCAGAGCCAATAGAGACAGAAAGCTTTCCCCTGGAGCTGGCACCCTGAAGTCGGACTTATAGTCTCCTAAGCTGTGAGAGAATAAATTTCTGTTTGTTAAAGCCGTCTACTTGTGGTATTTCTGTTATGGCAGCACTAGATAACTAAGACGGTTGCCATGAGTCAGAATCTGCTTAATAGCAACTGGTTTTGGACTCTATGGGTGGTGCAAAGGGTTTATGCACTTGGCTGCTAACCAAAAGTTTGGAGGTTTGAGTCCACACAGAGGCACCTCAGAAGAAAGGGCTGCAATCTATTTCCAAAAATACCAGCAATTGGAAACCCTGTGGAACACAATTATACCCTGACACACATGGGGTCCCAATGAGTCGGAGTCGATTCCATGGCAACTGGTACTGGTATAGACAAATAAGGAATGCTGAAATGAATTTACAAATAGATGCAAAATGAGTAAACAATCAATTGCATTCTACAGGACACAACTAGTTTGCATTTTATAAACAAAATCATTTGCATTATTATTAGTTTTGTACAAGTTAAAAAAGGAATCCTGATGGCACAATGTTAGCACTCAGCTGCTAACCCAACTGTTGGTGGTTTGGAGCCACCAAGCCACTCTGCAGGAGAAAAGACCTGTCAATCTGCTTCCATAAAGATTTCAGCCTAGGAAACCCTATGGGGCAGTTCTACTGTGTCCTATAGGGTTGCTATGAGTTGGAATCGACTCAGCAACTGGGTGGAAACCCCAGGTTCTTACTCAGCATGACTCATATTGGCCAATAAACGAGAGACCGAGGTGGGAGAACAAGAAAGGCACCTTTATTTTGTTGTGCAAGGAAACGGAGTCAGTCGGAGCTGCCGCTGCCAAGACTGCTCGCCAAGGGCGGGCAGGCAGGTTACTTTTAAAGGGGTTTACAAGTAGGGAGTTCATACAGGTTACGTCAGCAACGTTCTTAATCATACTATGCAGGTGCAATGTGGTTTACATATAACCTCCAAGCAAAAGCAGGATTCAAATGCAAAGCTGAGGGGGGCAGCAGGGAGGAGCTCAGCAAAGGAATACAACCCTATAGGGGAGAAAACCAGGTAAAGAATACAGCACTCTGGGGGTTGTGTCTCAGAAGCACACAACAACAACAACAGAATTGTAAAAGCTCAAAGACAATGATACACAGAGCTAACCTAGAAGGATGCCCTAGATAGGGCTCTCAGTAATTTTCTTTTGATCATTTCAAAGTATGCTACAGATTTTCCTGACAAAATCAATAAACTGTATTTTACACATAATTGGTTTTGTTTTAATGTGATAATTTAATGACATACTCCCTTTTGCAAAACTGACCTGATTGGTTGTTCTGTGTGAACGGAGACAAAAGATTCAGATCACATCACGGACACTTTGCTCTTTTCTTCTCTGTATAAATCCTGTATTTCCACGCAGGCTGCTGTTCTCTCCCCACATCCACATTTCCAATACAGGTTGAAGTCATTGTTAGTGTTTTATTTTTGTTTTATGCACACACACACACACCCACACACACATACTTTCTTTTTTAGAACCGTTTTAGGTTAACAGAAAAATCACACAGAAAGTATAGGACATTCCCACACTGCACAGTTTCCCCTATTAACATCTTGCACTCCTACGGTACATTTGTAACTATTGATGAACCAATATTGAAACATTATTATTAACTAAATCTCATAGTTATATTAGGGTTCACTTTTTGTGTTGTACAGTCATATGGGTTTGACAAATGCAAAATGGCATGTATCCACTATTACAGTATCATGCAGAATAGTTTCACTGCCCTTGAAATGCCCTAGGCTCTATCTATTCATCCCTCCCCCCACCAAACTCCTAAAAAGCACTATCTTTTCACTGTCTCTATAGTTGTGCTTTTCCAGAATATTATACAGTTGGAATCATACAATATGAAACTTTTTCTGGCTGGCTTCTTTCTCTTAGCAATATGTATTTAAGGTTCCTTTTCATATCTTGAGGAACGCTGGTGGCACGGTGGTTAAAGTGCTTGGCTGCTAACCAAAATGTTGGTGGTTTGAACACACCAGTCACTCCGCAGCCAAAAGATGTGGCAGTCTGCTTCCATAAAGATTACAGCCTTGGAGACCCGATGGGGCAGTTCTACTCTGTCCTATAGGGTCGCTATAAGTTGAAATCAATTCAATGGCAATGGGTTTGGTTTGATTTTGGTTTTCATACCTTGATAGCTCTTTTTTTTAATTACTGAATAATACTTCATTGTATGGATGTACCACAGTTTGTTTATCCATTCACCTATTGAAGGACATCTTGGCTGCTTACAATTTTGGGCTATAAACATTCATGTGCAGGTTTTTCAAGGGACATGTTTTCAACTCTTTTGGGCAAATACATAGGTGTGTGATTGCTGGGTTGTATGGTAAACCTACGTTTAGCTTTGTGAGAAACCACTGGACTGTCTTCCAAAGTGGCTGTACCATTTTGCATTCTCACCAGTAATTAATTAGAGTTCTGTTGCTCCATGTCCTTGCCAACACTTGTTGCTTTCAGTTTTCAGAATTTTTGCCATTTTAATAAGTGTGTAGTTGTATCTCATTGTTGTTCTAATTTTGCAATTC